TCCGCATCCGGGCTTTTATTGGCATTTCCTTCTTGGGTTTATTGATTTCATCATTTGAGCCTTGTGTATTTAAATTTTCATTGTTATAAATGAACAATATTTTCATTAAAGATTTGTATTGATTTGTAATTTTTCAATAATTTCATATGGCTTTGTAATTAAGATCAAAAGTTATAAAAACATAATAAATTAACACAACTTTAATTATAAAAATTTTAAATATTCACTATATATAAACGTTTTTTCGGTTTTTGTTATAATAATGTTCTATAATAAGTAAAATAATGCATATATTTTTTAGAAGATTATATTCAACAAATTATACTAAGGATCGTAAACCTCAGATAATACAATCGGATCTTGATGGAAATAACGCTCGAATCATTCAGAATAATTTATCTATTATATGTCCCTCTTCACCCTCCTTACTCGATATGTCAAATCTTGTTGACATGAAAATTAATGACATGAATTCTAAGAATACGCTAATTTATTGGCTATGGTATGATGTCTTGATTGTGACAGACATTAACGTTTCTATGTGCAATTTGATTTTACAAAACGAAAAATCAACTATTCTCAAATAATATATTTCAAATCTTTAGCGATTGACAAGACAAACATTTACATTTTATTTAACAATCATTATATATATATCTTAAAAAAAGTATGCACTTCTCGAGAGCATAGACGCATTCAAATACATCCAAAAGAATTATCTTTTAATGTCTTTCCACAGTAATAGTCATTTTTACGCTTTCGGTAAATCTTTGCAATCGTATCCTCCGACGAGATGTTTGATACCTGACAAAAGAATTTACAACGTAGAAAAACCGACGTACACAGTAACGACGAACAGCATCATCGTAAATCTTCCGGAGCCGGTCCTTAAGAATGGATGCAAAAAGCACAACTTACCTACCACTCTATATACCATCTACATAAACTATTGTTTGAACAATAAACTTAACAAGTTCGATAATTTCACCATGCAACCGTACAAGCGATATTGCGAGATTCAGAATTTAATGCCGCTTACAGAATACAAGTTATTGCTAGTAATAAGCAATTTTTACACTGATCAGTTATCGATGGACCCGTTATTCCGTTCGGAAGTGATACTAAGAACTAAACCGAGCAAACTCGACGCACCGGAAAATGTGACAGTTCAGGCTCTTACGCCTACTATAGCGGCAGTTTATTGGATGCCATCCAAAAATCTAAACTGCGTTCCCGTGATCTACGAAGTATACTGGGCGTTCATTATCAATAGTACGCGACAAATAAACGAGTTACCTATCAATAAGACCGAACATAAGGTAGGCAGCAAATTTTTCACGATAATCGAACCGTTGATACCAGGACAGAAATATAGGGTATTCGTACGTATATATCCAGCCAACTTCAGCGATCATTATAATGACAGTTTGAGCAAAACCTTGTACATGTATTCGGAACCAAACAATATAACTTTAAGCGAGGTTAGCATAAACGGTATGAATATCTCGTGGATTCCTAGCGTTAATATGGTTCATTACTTATTGGAATATAAAAATGTTGAGATGCAAGAGTGGCAAATTAAAAACAACTTTGAACCAAATAATGGGGGAAAAGTAATGTACTATATAAAAAACTTACTACCAGGAACTATATACGAGTTTCGTTTGATATTGAAATACCCCAAGTACGAGAAAGATTTTATATGGCCGTCTGATAAAAGATTTACTTTTTCAACACTGACAAGTAAGCCAATGAAGATATTATAACATTATATACTTATTTTAAATATAAAAATATTTACAAAATTTAAAAACTTAGTAATTTTTAATAGTAAAGTTATAAATAGAAGTAAGTTTTTAAATAAAATGAAGATATTAAGAGTATATTTTTGTGTAACAAAGGTGATATTTCGAGCACTTCTGAAATGTCGATTATGCAATATTACCTATCATTCACCGTAAGCTTTGTCGCTATAGTTACTGTAATCTGCATCTGCTACTTTTACTACTGTAAATATATTTGATACGCATCTAGTTCTTTAATTGCAGAAAGAGAGAGATTATATCTAATGCATTATAGTATTAGGTGTACAACTTTGCTTCCGCAGTATTTAAATTATCCAGTTGCTGACAATACTTCTCCGAATAATGGCAATTACATTATTTAATAAAGTTTATTGACGGTAATAAAAATTTGTATTTTGTTTTATTCCAAAAACGGACAGAACTTTCCGGTAGTCTTAATATAAATTTTCTAAAAAAAATAATTTACTTGTTAAAAAAGCAATGTAAATTTTGCAATGCATATTATTAGATAAGCATATTGTAATTTTATAACAGTGTACCGACAACGCAAAGAAAGTAACGAGCAAATTTTGCCTCCTGTAATGACCGACATCGAATTAGCGATTCTACATGAGATACCTAACGGTAACGTTCAATTCAATACGTTATACAGTCCTATGTTGCAATATAATTCGGATGAATATGTACTGACCAAAATCAAACGTGATGAAATCAGATTAGAAAAACTTTTAGGCAGCGGCCAATTCGGGAAGGTAAAAACTAATTTTTGCGATATTATACGCTAATTTCTAGATCTACAGAAATTAAAACAAATACGCATTTCTCGAAAAACAATTACACGAATAACATTTTATAAGAGATTAGTAATGCAAAACAGATAACTAATGTAAAATTTTTGTGAAATAACATACACATGCACTCTACCATGTATTTTTCGTTATTATTTAATACAAAATAAAATATATAATGTCACTTAACATTAAACTATATATTTTTTAATGAAGTATAAATTTAAATTAATTTTAAATATTTCGCAGGTGTTTCGAAGAACAATAAAGAATTTAGAAAGACTGGGCATAGAGATACCCGCTGCTATAAAAATGCTTCGAAAAGATGCTTCCTCGCAAGAGAAAGAGAAGTTTTTAGAAGAGGCCAGGCTTATGAATCACTTCCGACACAAACATGTGCTAAGATTGCTTGCCGTCTGCTTAGACAAAGATTCTCCATTAATCGTGTTGGAATTAATGGAAGTTGGTGATTTATTACAATATTTGAAAGATAGTCGAAAATTGCAACCGTCAGATTCGCACGCTCTGCATCTGCAAGATTTGTTCACTATGTGCGAAGATATCGCGCGAGGCTGTTGCTACCTGGAAAATCTGCGTTTCGTTCATAGAGATCTCGCGTGTCGAAATTGTTTAGTATCCGCGAGAGATCGCGAGAAACGTGTCATTAAAATCGGCGATTTTGGACTAGCTAGAGATGTTTACAAAGATGACTATTATCGCGTGGTAAATACAATTATCGTAAAAAAATGAAATTTTTTAGAAATGTTTATGTTCTAATAATATAGTATATTTTTATTTTGAGTAAAACGTAAAAAAGATGGATTATTTCTGTTTATACATATAAAGCAAGAGATAAATAAACGTTTTTCGTTCTAATACAAATGCCCTTAAAATGGACAACATAAACCAGACGATTAACTTCGCTAAAATCACTTGTTTTAGAAAGGACAAGGTCTTCTTCCTGTTTGCTGGATGGCACCGGAATCTTTGGTGCTCGGAATATTTACTTCCCAGAGCGATGTTTGGTCATTCGGGGTTGTGATGTGGGAAATTACATCGTTGGGTGAGCATCCTTACACTGGCAAGGTTAATCAGGAAGTGATAGATTATGTCCGCGCTGGAGGCAAATTGCCGATGCCTCTCAATTGTCCACCGACTTTGTACGAGTTGATACTGCATTGCTGGAGTTCAGCAAATGATAGACCAAACTTCAAACTTTGTCTCAAAAATATTATAACTTTAAGAAATAACATAGAAAATACCTTACTGAATCCAATAGATATTATCTAGTTGATAAAATTAAATTAATTAATGACGTTACTTTCCAAATTATCAAATAAAATGCTCAAACGTAGAAAAAATAATTTAAAATAACAAATATTCTGCTGTTTTCAAGTTTTATCTTAATATTAGATTAGTAGATAAAGATAAGAAAGATATTCCTCAATCTTACTTTGCGAAAAATTTTGATAATTAAAAATCACAACATGTATTCTTACAACTTTAAACAACATGATGCTGATGTTAGCACTTTCGAGTAACCGAAACAAAACTTAATTGTTCTAATTACTATAATTATTGGTAGATTCCTATAGTAGTTTTGGTCTATTTTATAGTATATTAGCACTTTGTTTATTTCTATATTTTTTCTTGCTTGAATGCTTAAACAAAATATACATTTTAAAAAATTTTCTGGTATCTTTTATTCTCTTTCCTGTTATTTCATTCAAAAAAAAAATCAAGGTAGGTTCGATACTGGCGAAGCTGATTTGTGTACACTCAAATATTTGGCGGAAAATGCGAAATTTAAAACAACAGCCTTCGAGCAAATGAATGAAGTAGGAGGTACATTATTTTAAAAGGAACAAACCGGCTTCAATTAAAATGACTTACCGATTCATTTTAGCATGCACCAGAATCTAAAGTTTACTTTTACTCTGTATAAAAAGAATGATTTTTTTGCATTGTATAAAAGAATTACTTATATTGTGTAATTTAAATGAGAAATTCTTTTATCAATAATTTACTAAATATTTTAATATAGAGACTAACATATTTTGTTTCTGTATATAATTATTCACAAATAGTAAAACAGAAATTAAAAAAAAAAATTTAGTTTAATAAAAGCGAGAAATTATTTTTTTTTATATTCTGAAATGACTCTTTTGCTGATAAATGTGAAAGTAGAGTGTTTCTTCTCTTTCTTTTTAGAACCAATTTATCTGCAAAAATTATGAAATCTCCAGATTATATCATAATAGAAGCGCAGAAATTTTATTGCATGAGTCATCAGGAAATGTTAAAATATTTGAGAGATTATGCCCAGCACTTGGATATGTCGATATATTTACGTAATTATATTTTAATATCGAAAAGGATAGAAAAAAGTTGGTTGTTTATTTAGAAATTAATGAATTTTTTTTAGTTTGATACAAGAATTGTACACATTCAACTTGAACTACCCGAATATAGCAATAGAGAAAAGAAATCAATGAAAATGAAAAAATTAAAGATAAACGAAACAGAATTCCACGCCGGCCGGTACTTGGCCCAAAGGCCAAAAACAACGGTAATTTTGAAGAGCTATAACTTTGCGAAAAAAAATCGTAGCGACATCGCTTTTTTTTCAAATTGGAGTGGAAAATTTGAACTTTATGACGATGTAAACGGTGACCCTGAAAAAACTTTTTTCGTCCGTGCATTCCGTCAAACTTTGCAATTTTCAAGTTTTTAGTATACCAAACATACCCTTAGATTTCAGGGGTTACAGACGTAGGGGTGCATCGCATGAAAAAAATGGAGGTATATTCTTAAAGTAAAGACTTCAAGCTTCATTTTGAAAAAAAATCATTCGTTTACGATAATTTTTCGCGAAGTGATCGGCAGTCAAAATTGGTCAATTATCGGCAAATATTTTCTATGACATAATTTTTTTAAGCAGTGTATATATCCAGTATTAATAGTTTTCCGGGTTTAATACTGAACGATCACGCATATTGAAAATCTGATGTGAGTTCGTCGGAAAAAAAATTAGTGTTAGGTGCAGCTGGTATACATATAGGGATCGAGTTATCCGATTATGTTGTTTGCGTATACTTAAGCCATAATCATGATAGGTGAGTGAATACAAATATTATTCAAAAATAACTTAAACCTTTCAATATAATACAACTTTAAATACAGAATTAGACAAAAAGACAGTTTAAGATTTATTTGATATATTCTCTTTTCTTGCAGATTAACAAATCCTTTACCATCGAATATGATACAAGTAGCTGGTGTCAAAAGTATACATGAAACTACATTTTGTCTTAGAGACGGAACCACTGTCAATGATATTAACACTTTTCTTTTTTGTACTGGATATAAATACAGTTTGTTTTTTTTTAACTAGAATTGTGGTATACGAATTAACAATAATTATGTAACGCTGTTTTACAAACATCTCATTAACATTAAGCATCCTTCGAAGTGCATTGTTAGTATACCAACAATTGTTATGCCATTCTCCATGTTTCATATGCAGGTATGACAATTTATCTATCATAACTATCTAAGACAACAAGATGAGTAATTTTATACACAACTATCCATACAATACAGAATATTGCAACAACATTGCTACAATGTATTGTATGAGTTTGTAATTATCATTGTGCAATAATAATAGACACCATTTAAGTCATAAATTATGCAATTATAATGCTTGAGCTAGAGATAATATATAATATTTTTATATTACGTTTTACAAATTTTCGATATTTTTATATATGTATAATTATTTATATGAGAGATTGTTATTTTAATAATATTCTTTCTTTATCTCATTTAATAAATGTTCTCTTATAAATATTTACAACTATATTATTTAATTTTAGCTTTAAGTTACAATAATACACAATAAATTATAATATTTATAAAATAATAATATTTATAAAATTAAAATATTTGCAAAAACACGATTTGTTTTAATAATTGTGTTGTGATTATTCAATTTCATTAAATTGTTCATACTTGTACGAGCAATAAATGTTTTCTCAAGGGAATAAAATATTTTAGAAAATTTTTAAAAATGTATATTTTGTTTAAGCATTCCAGTAAAAAAAATATGGAAATATAAAACAGGATACTAATATAATATGACATAGACGTTATTTTTAAAACTGTTCCAGTAATCTAACGATAATTATAATAATTAGAACCATTATGCTTCGTTTCGCTTATTCGAAAGTACTAGCATAGCATCACCTTGTTTACAGATGCAAGAACAAGTGTCGTGATTGTTAATCATCAAAATTTCTCGCAAAGTAAGATTAAAAAATGTCTCTTATATTTATCGACAAATCTAACATTAAAATTAAACTTTAAAAGGGCATATTAGTTATTTAACGAATATTAGTCATTTAAAATTATTTTTCCTACGTTTGAGCTTTTCATTAAATTATTTGAAAAATAACGTCATTAATCAATTTAATTTTATCGGCTAGATAATATCCACTGGGCTTAGTAAAGTATCTTCTATATTACATCTTAGAGCTATAATATTTTCGAGACAAAGTTTGAAGTTCGGTCTATCTTTTGTTGCACTCCAGCAGCACAGCATCAATTCGTACAAAGTCGGTGAACAATTAAGAGGCATCGGTAATTTGCCTCTAGCGCGTACATAATCTATTACTTCCAGATTAGTCCTGCCAATGTAGGGATGCTCACCCAACGATGTAATTTCCCACATTAGAACCCCGAATGACCAAACGTCGCTCTGGGAAGTAAATATTCCGAGCATCAAAGATTCCGGTGCCATCCAGCAAACAGGAAGAAGACCTTGTTCTTTCTAAAACAAGTGATTTTAGCGAGTTAATCGTCTTTCAAAAGCATTTATATTAGAACGAAAAACGTTTATTTATCTCTTGCTTTATATGTATAAACAGAAATAATCCTTCTTTCTTAAGTTTTACTCAAAGTAAAAATGTACTATATCATTAACAAAAAAAAAAAAAACACATAAACATTTCTAAAAAAATTTTATTTTTTTACGATACTTGTATTTACCACGCGATAATAGTCATCTTTGTAAATATCTCTAGCTAGTCCAAAGTCGCCAATTTTAATGACACGGTTTTCGCGATCTCTCGCGGATACTAAGCAATTTCGACATGCGAGATCTCTATGAACGAAACGCAGATTTTCCAGGTAGCAACAGCCTCGCGCAACATCCTCGCACATAGCAAACAAATCTTGCAACCGCAGAGCGTGCGAATCTGACGGTTGCAATTTTCGACTATCTCTCAAATATTGTAATAAATCACCAATTTCCATTAATTCCAACACGATTAATGGAGAATCTTCGTTTAAGCAGACGGCCAGCAATCTTAGTACATGTTTATGTCGGAAGTGATTCATAAGACTGGCCTCTTCTAAAAACTTCTTTTTCTCTTGCGAGGAAGCATTTTTTCGAAGCATTTTTATGGCAGCGGGTATCACTATGCCGGTCTTTCTAAATTCTTTACTGTTCCTTGAAACACCTGCAAAATATTTAAAATAAAATAAAATTTAGACTCTATTAAAAAATACATAGTTTAATTCTCAGTGACGTTATATATTTTATTTTGTATTAAATAATTTAATGAAAAATATATAGTAGAGTGCATGTGTATGTTATTTTATAAAAATTTTGCGTTATTTATAATCTCTTATAAAAACTTAATCATATAATTATTTTTATCGAGAAATACGTATCTGTCTCAATTTCTGTAGATGTAGAAATTAGCGTATAACAATGAAAAAATTAGTTTTTACCTTTCCGAATGCGCCACTGCCTAAAAGTTTTCCTAATTTGATTTCCTCACGTTTAATTTTGATTAGTACATATTCTTCCGAATTATATTGCAACATAGGATTGTATAACGTATTGAATTGAATATTACCGTTCGGTATCTCATGTAGAATCGCTAATTCGATGTCAGTCATTATCGGAGGCAAAACTTGCTCGTTACTTTTTTTGCGTTGTCGATACACTGTTATAAAATTGCAATATACTTATTTAATAGTATACATTGCAAAATTTACATCGCCTTTCCAACAAGTAAATTAACTTTTCTTAGAAAATATAATACATTAAATATAATATCTCTCTTTCTGCAATTAAAGAACTAAATGCGTATCAAATATACTTACAGTAGTAAAAGTAGCAGACGCAGATTACAGTAACTATAGCGACAAAGCTTACGGTGAATGATAGGTAATATTTCATAACTGATATTCCAGGAGTGCTCGAAACGTCACCTTTATTACGCAAAATTATACTCTTAATATGTTCATTTTATTTAAAAACTTATTTCAACTTATAAATTTATTATTAAAAATTACTAAGTTTTTAACTTTTCTAAATATTTCTATATCTCAAATAAACATATAATGTTATAATATTTTCATTTGCTTACTTGTCAGTGTTGAATAAGTAAATCTTCCATCAGATGGCCATGTAAAACTTTTCTCGTATTTGGGGTATCTCAGTATCAAACGAAACTCGTATCGAATTCCTGGTAATAAGTTTTTTATATAGTACATTACTTTTTCCCCTTTATTCGGCTCAAAGTTTTTTGCGATTTGCCACTCCTGCATCTCAACATTTTTATATTTCAATACGTAATGAATTGTCAAATTAACGCTAGGAATCCACGAGATATTC